TTTCTAAGTTTTCATGTGTATGTATGTGATTGACTGATGATTATACTTTTGTCTGCATTTGGTAGGGTTTGATTAAAGCAATGGCTGATGTTATTCCCAAAGCTGAGCAAAGGTTTTGTGTGAGGCATATTTGGGCTAACTTCAAGCTCAACTTCACTGGATCAACCTTTAAGGAGCTGTTTTGGAGAGCAGCTAGGGCCACCACCATTGTAAGTTTATTGATTGTTGAAGCTAGCCTATGCTTTTATATGACTGTTGGTGTGTTTTTATATTGGTTAGCTTGTATATGCTTGGTGTGATTTCTGGTATGCTTTTATATGTCAGTTTGAGCATGAAATTGCCATGGAGTCTATCAAATTCCTCGATGAAGAGGCATATGAGTATTTAATCAACATTCCTCCCCACCATTGGTCTAGACATGCATTCACACCAAACTGCAAGTCCAACATGTTGTTGAACAACATGTGTGAGACTTTCAATGCAGTCATTAGGCCTGCCAGAGATAAACCTATCCTCACCCAAATGGAATGGATGAGGAGGTATATTATGAACAGGAATAATGAAAAGTGGGAGGATTCAAAAACAATTACACACAACTTAGTGCCATATGTGAGGCATGTTCTGGGGAGGATAGACTTTGTGGCTAGGTCCTGTGTGGTGCAGCCATCCAGAGGGAATACATTTGAGGTGCAGCTGAAGGATGACCAGGTGTTGGTTGATTTGGACAAGGAGACCTGCACATGTTACCATTGGGAACTCACTGGCATTCCATGTGTTCATGCTTATGCCTGCATATTGGATATGAGGGGTGACATAGAGGCTGTTGTTGACCCATACTATACCATGGACACATACAGGTCTGCTTATGAACCAGCTGTCCAACCAATGCCTGGCCCAAAGCACTGGGAGACAGTCAGAATGAGGGAACCACTACCCCCTTCTGTTAAGGTGCAACCTGGGAGACCAAAGAGCAAAAAAAGGAAGCTTGAGCCAGGAGAATGTTCTTCTTCAGGTGGTCAGGCAAGTACCAAGAGGAAGAAGCAATGCAGCAACTGTGGGGGATATAGGCATTATGCCAAGACTTGCAAAGTACCTGCTGCACCAGCTACAGAGCTGATAAAGTCAGCAGGCAGACCCCCACTGAACACTCCTTGGATGGTGGAGGAGAGGAAGAAGAAAGAGATTAGGGCTGCTAAAAAGGTAACACAAGCATTACACCAACTCCCCCTTTGTTTTATATATGTATGTGTCTTTTCCATTGACTTTTTATTTTTATATGCATGTCATAGAGTGCAATTGGGGCTGGACCAAACAGCATAGGAAACAAAAAGTTTCCTCAAGAGCAAGAAGGTTGTCTGCCATTCAGCAAGCGCCCACAGCCACAGTCTTCCTCAGCTAAGCATTCCTCAGCTCAGCCATCCTCTAGTCAGCCATCCTCAGCTCAGCCTTCCTCAAGTCAGCCTGCCTCAAGCCAACCAAAAAGAAAGACAAGGTCTTCCTCAAGTCAGCCTACAACAGCCACAGGTGTTGTAACAAGGGCCAGGCTGCAATCCCTCAACAACCTTACTCAGTGATGTACTCATGCTGGATATCAAACATTATGTCTGTTGAACAATTTCAAACTTTTATTATGTACTCATGACTGGTTATGTAACTTGCTAGTTTTTTAGTGGCTTCCCTTAACAAATTTGAACAATTAGATATTGAATTGTAATGGTTGCATGGCTTTGATTGCCATTGAAACATGTTGAAGTAAGGTTCTTTTGTCAACCTGTACTTGAACTATCTTAGTGTTTCACATATTTCCCATGTTTTAATGTTTCACATGTTTAAATAGGTTGATTAAAAGACAAGGCATAAATAGGAACTTAGACAAGGCATAAATAGGTTGATTAAAAGACATATTTATAACACTTCAAGTCATTACAAGAAATTATAACTACTTAATACAGCTTACTATTACACACCCCTAGCCATTAGGAAAATTACACCCATTGACAAACCTATACAAATGGCCATGCCCACCCAACCAAAACAGCTGATTGAAGACACCTTCCCTTCATTGCACTCCCTGTTCATTCTCTTCCTGTCAGCGTTCAAGGCCTTGCATCTCATCTTCAAATTATCAACTTCATTAAGTAGGCACCTCCTTTGGCCACTGATTTCATCAACTTCCCTTTTCAATTCATTAACTTCACCCTTTAGCAGCTTCTTATCCAACAACAGGTTGTTGATAACCCCTGTTTGCCAATCTGTTCCATCAGGTTGATCAACCCATTCGAAAGCTTTGCAACCCCTTGTTTCTGTTATTGGGTCATAAAACTTACATGATATGAACTTCCTGCCTGGATTCTCCCTTGTCCAGCTAGTGAGCTTGGCCATTGGCACACCACACTTACATTTTCTGGCCTCAGGAGGGGAAGAGCTAACAAACGACATAATCTGCATCAATTTTAGATCGACAGTCACATTTACAGATTTGTACACTGACGAATTAACATTGACAGCAACAAAATTCATTTTTAATTTCATAATACGAAAAGCCCCAAATTCAATTTCTGACGAACCCTAATTTCGCAATTGGGCATTTAGATGCGTACATAACATAATCCAACCATTAATCTGAGTACGAAACAATTGCAAATAATAATTGAAGAGAATTTAAACCATAATTACCAAACAACCGAACAATTGACCGCACTCACCTGTTTCAGCAGCTTCAATCTGTTCCTCTTCTCAAAAATCGTGGAAGAATCGTGAAAGAATTGTTTCAAGTATCGTGCAACAATGCAATGCGCTGCTGCTATTCAATAAGAACAACAATTTCGTTCATTGGGGGAGAATCGTGCAAGAATGGTTCTTATATATCGTGCAAGAATCGTGGAAGAATGGTTCTTATATACAGATCTTTTAAAAATATATCCGTTGGGGTGGGCCCCACTAACAGTTCTGTTAACGGAAGATGGATTTTGGTGTTAACTTCCAACTTTTATATTTTTGGGAGGTGTTAAAATAAAAGTTTTTTTTTGGGGGGTGTTAAAAAACATTTTCAGCCTTTTGTAAGGTGTTAAAATCCAAAATATCCCAAAAAAAATACTCGTATAAAAACAAAATAACTAGCAAAATCAACCCTGAATAGAGAATAGTGAATAATGACTAACATAATTTAGAAAGACAAATTATTTGGAAATTAGATTTTGTTGAAATTTATTTCTTCTTATATATTTCGTATAAACTTCTTTTCGTAATAATTTATATATGATACTCAACATTTGTTGTGAACATATTAATGACATTAATACAAGTTGTACTTGGTATTATTAAAGCAAATTAACGCGATATGTTATAATTGTTACGGAGTACAAAGTATTACAAGGGGCTTCCGTTCAATTGTTGAAAGATAAAGATAAGCTTTCTATCTATTGAAAGCTGTTCAATTGTTGAAAGATAAAGATAAGCTTTCTATCTATTGAAAGCTACCCGAAGAATAATTAGTCTACAACTTATTATAAAAATATTACTCGTAGTATAATACTAGTTAATGTCCGAGCTATGCTCGGGTTTTTTAATTAAAACATAGTTGGATTATTTTATGCATAATATAGAAAATAAATTTTGTATGTTGATTTACTTAGTCGATCAATAACTGGAATTATCAACTTTTACCCTGATAAAATTAAATTTTAGTTATTTACTTTTAAATTTCAAACTTTAAAATTAACTTGAAATTATTATTTTTTTAATGAAAAAAATGACAAAAAAAAAAAAAAAAACTTTTGGACGGGAAAGTTTTTTATGTGGTGATGACATGTGTAATCTATGATTTTTTCTGAGGATTATTTTAGTATTGTATTGTATATAGATATTAAACTACTCTTGCTTCTAAGTTGTGACGTGTCATACAAATGAGAGACTTCGACCAATCAGGATTCATTAAACGGAGTTGCCAAGTTGTATTAGATTATTAGAGTGATGTAAGGCTTCAACAAGAAGCTACGTAATTATTTGCTTGGTTGGCTCACCACGTACTCACCACTTAGTTACTTGTCAAGTTTTGCAATTTGTCAATCCAATTGGCCCAAAAAAACGTTTGGCCATTCACGAATTACAAAGCCCAAAATTATTTCTTTTTAGTTATTTTATACGAAGTATACTAGTATAAGGTAAGAACATATAATTATTAGAGTGTATTCAATTTCTAATGAATTATCCATAAAAAAATGTTTTGCGCAATGTGCATATAGTTCAATGGATTTTTCAGATTGCGTATAGTCAATCAATATCAACTACTCCTTTGGGATAAAAGTTTATAACACAAGCAATAATGTATTGTACAAACAAAAATTGTAAAAAAACAAATTGATTGGTTAAGTTAGGGCCTAATATCGTTGGTTTGGTTATTCTAATACATCTAATAAATTTGATGAACTTATTATTGAAGGAGACGGTAGTACTTGTGTTCTTTTCTTTTAGTATCTAACAATAAATTGAATATGCGCTTTAGATTTGAACAATATATATACTCTTTTGGTTTGAATCATACTCATATTATCTTTACTCTCTATTGTTTTCATTATGAACCATATTTTTCTGTGAGTGGAAATCATATGTGAATTGTTTATTTTGGGTTCATAACCTTAGCAAGTTTATAGAAGTAGAGTTAAGATTTTGTATTGTATTCCCTTAACTGCTTACCACACTGTCCTTTTAACTTAATTATAGCATAATCAATGTTTGCTAATAGCTACGACTCCTACGAGTACTAGCCTACTACTGTAAGTAGTGTTTCCATACAAAATAAAGTATCGGGATTCCACTTTAGTTGACGAATCATTTTAGTGTTGAGAACTGAAGTAATATAAATAATTACATCTTTTGGATTTATTAAAGGACATAGATGATGTTGAACGAGTTTGATAATCACGCATGTTTTGTTTTAACATGAGCTCTGAATTTGTTTTTTAAAGGCAAGAGTATCTATTTGCTATGTACTTGTACTGAGAAAAAAATCGAAACATATCTTGTCAAAGGTACAGCTCGTGTTATTTTGGATTGCATTGTATAGATTTGACAATAATGTAGCTTTTGTATACTACTTCAGTTTTTCGTATGCCTAATAAGATCGTTCATTTCAATGAACGAGTTGTCTAAATCCTCTAATCCTTGAAAAATGTCCTCGAAATCTTCTGCATCATCGGTAAAATGCTGCAGAAGTCTGTCCACCTCGTCTTCTTCTGATACATCCAAGGATAAAGGAGCAGCAATAGGCACATCCAAGGGAGTTGTAGCAGAGATGTATGGGGTACCTGTAGAAGTAGTGGTGCTTGAAGTTGGAGCAGCAAGGTAAGGAACACTCATAACAGCAGTAGTGGTGCTTGAAGTTGTAGCAGCGGTGTATGGAATACCCATTACAGTACTGGTGTTTGAAGTTGTAGCAGCGATGTTTGGAGTACCCATAACAGCAGGGGTGCTTGGATAATGCATATCAGGAGCAGCAGTAGCAGCAACAGAGGTGAAGTCAGTACCAACACACCCAAAACTCATATCACAGGACACTAGACCAGGGGTTCTCTCCTGCACATTATCATCAGTGTCACTGTCCCACTCTTCTTCCACAAAACGAGCCCCATATTCTTCTCCATTCTTTGGTCCTGCACCACTCTTTTCAAAGATTTTACAGATTGCATATGAATCCTGGGGCACGCCTTTGTCAGCAAGCAATGTATCATTCAAAACATATTCATGCATCACCCAATTAGTTCTTGCCCCATTCGGAGACTTTCCACTGTGGAATACCAAATGCTTGATCTTTCCCACACACCGTTCTTTATACTTTACCTCCTTGTCCACTCCAGTCGATTTCCAATAACCCTTGTTAGCAACCCTGTTACTTCTATTTCCAGAAGGGTATTTCTTTGACCGAGGGCAGAAGAAATACCAATATCGATCCTTAGTCTTAAGACATGCCATCTCAGGAAGATCCCAGGGTTCAAACTTATACACATCAAGCTCAGAAATCATCTGAGGACGACTCAGAGATTTACCCAGAACCTTCCTCTTCAGGTAATACATGACCAACTCCTCGTTCGTTGGCTGAAATCGAACCCCCGGTGGAAAAGACTTAACACCTAATGATCCTTTCATGATTCAGCACCAGCAAATTCTCCCAGAAACTTTGAATGATCAAAGGATGATCAACTAACTAGTCAACACCAAAAACTACGAATTACGAAACCAACCGCCAACGATGAAACACAAGAATCCACAAACTTATTCTCCCCCGATTGACAAAAGACATGAGATCTGGAAAATCAACATAATCAATCATCAAAAACACAAAAAATCTCAACTTTCCAAAACAAACCAACCAAAAACAGGCCAGACAAACTTTAACTCAATTATCAAATTAGACCCGAAATTCTCATAGATGTCTAAACTTCAAGGTAAATTGCAACGAAATTATAAACAAAAATACAATAATTCACCCTTTAAAAAACCCTAAATTGACTACACTAACGATCAATTCAATTATAAACCCTGAATCTTGAAATTCGTTATCAACTATCATAGAAATTGATATTCAACTATTAAAAATGCATACCAAAATTCAAACCCTAAATAAAACCCTAAACCGACTATAATCGATAAAAATCAACGATAAACCCTAAATTGACGATCAAAATAACGATAAACCGGAAAATGTGAATTTGATAATCAACTCAACGATAAACGCTAAATTATGAAATTGATATTCGAAGATTAGAATTAACAGCAGAAAAAAACTAGAACTTACTTCAGAAGCTATTTCAATGGAGGAGAGAGAAAAAAATGTATGATGAATTCAAAATTCGCGCTTCAATGGAGGAGAGAGAATGAGTTGCAGGGAAAAACAAATGAATGCTTATATAGGAAAAAAAAAATTAATGACGCGGTTGTTTACGACCGTCAGATCTAATTCAATCTAAAGATATTGACGGTGACGATTCATTCTTGTTATATTTCGTATATTATATCTTTATTGAAACCGTTAAGCTTTATCTGAGTAAAAATTCTATGGAAAGTTTATGAAAAGGTAGGACTGTAGGAGTATCTAAGATGAATAATGAAATCTAAGATACTAGTATAAAAATATAAAAAGGTTTCCATCAAAAAAGGATAAAGTGTTATTTCTTTCGTTCTTTTTAGATGATATTTTCTTGTATCACGTTAACTAACGCACAATTTTAACGACTAATATCTCTAATTATTAAAATTTAAAAAATTGGATAGTAATAATATATACATTGATATGATTTAAACAAAATCCCAAATGCTTATGTTTTGTCGTATCTATAAGTCACAAAAGCTAGTTAAAGTATAGTTTGTTATAGTGCAAAAGTCAAATAGTGTTAACTAAAAAAATAAATTATTTATTTAATTTAATCTTGTTATTTTTTAAGGTGGAGTGAACAGGGTCTAAATACATGTTATATATTAATATTGTTTTGGTTAAATCAACATGAAAATTTAGAGCAACTCCAATGGTTTGCTTTTGAGGACTATCTTGCAATTTTAATAATTTTCAAGCTAATAGCCAAACCATTGGAGGATAATTCATTAATTAGCTTGGCTAAGCTAATTAGCTTAGAATTTAATTCTCTCTAATAAAATATTAATTTTTTTAAATAATAAAGCTAAAAAAACTAAATGACAATTGGCTTAACCATTGTGGTATAAATTAGCCAGAAGGAAGAATAGCTTTGCAATCTTAGGTGCCACGACAAACTAATTTGACAATTAGCTTGCCATAGGAGTTGCTCTTAGGATAAAGAATCAACAAACAATTTCTTCCTCAGATGGTATTATACAATAGTTAGGATAAAGAATCAACAAACAATTTCTTTCTCAGATGATGTTACAATGGCAAAAACTTATTTAAAAAAAAAAAAAAAAAAAAACAACAAAATATAAAGTTCGGTTCGAAAAATCAAAAAATGAAATCAACCAATTAAAACCAACAACAAACTATATAGTACAGTAAAATGGACGATGCAAACAAGTTAAGAAATAAAGCCTTGAATGACATACAAAAATCAAAAAATTTGCCTAAAAATTTTAACACAGTAAACGATAATCCTGAAATTTAAAAATATATGGAGAAGTATAATATGGAGTAATAATAAAAATAGAAAAAAAAGATCTAAAACAAGTTAAGTAATACTGCGCAACAAAACCCTAAACTGGAAACAATAATGATCACCATAGATTCGAAGATAATTTCATCTTGAAATTGAAACTCGTCATAACTTACTTTTACTTTCTATTGAAAATGTTTTATATCCACAAACAAGCTTAATAAAGGATACTCCAAGTAACAAGTAATACTTTGTAAGTATAATTAGTCTACAAATATTTATTAGAATAAATCAATTCCATGTAAAAAGATGAACGGTGTCATATGCTCTTTTTTTTTTTTTTTGAAATTGCTACCCACCTATTGTAGGAGGGTCGGTGTCATATGCTCCTAAGGAAGGGAATTAGGAGATAATAAATAGTCTTACCAATTAATTAGAACTTAAAACTAAAAAAAAAAAAAGATGTATCGCACGTAGTATAATTAGTCCACAAATATTTATTATATGTATGTACGTACTCGTAGTTTTTTTTTTTAATTACATCATATTAAAAACCATTTTAAAATACAAATAGGTCAAGAAAGTCATGCATATGATGAATACTAGCCAATCAGAATTCAACATTCTAGTAAAAAGGGTTGCCAAGTTGTAGTAGAGTGATGCAAAGTCTTCAACAAGAAGTTGACCCCATATATCAGTATGAACTTGGTCCAAATCGCCCGGAAAATGAAATGTAAATAGTTGGGCCAATGACAAAGCCCAATATAGCCCTATTACAAAATCTGATAAATTTAGAATGCAATGGACAATTGATAAGCCCAAAGTAAGAAATGTACTTGGTTCAAAGATGGATATTTGTTTTTTATTTTATTTTATTTTATTTATTTATTTATTTATTTATTTGTATTATTTTTTTGTGCACACAAGAGGCTAGGCCCCAAAAAACCAAAAACAAAAATAAACTACAACTACGGAGGAACAAAACATGGCATAGTCACCCGACATCATCAAATAAAATTCTCCCTAATGCTAGAGGGGAAACTTGAATCAACTCAACAGAGTTGTTCTGATTGACTCCTTGATTAGCAAGTCAATCCGTAGCTTTGTTTGCTTCCCTATAGACATGATGAGCCTCGACTTTCCACTTTGTGTCTTCTAGCATTTGCTTGCATCTCGAGATAATATGGACAGCTTCCTCTACGTACGTTTGAGAATTCTGCAGAACCAAAACCAAAGCCTGACTGTCATTGCACTTGAAGATTTCTTGGACTTAGTCTTGCTGCCAGCCCCAACCCATATTCCAGAGCCTTTGCTTCAGCCATAAACGCATTGCAAGCACCCAACTTTAGGGAGAAAGCGTAAGCAAGCTTACCCGTAGCATCACAAAAGATGGATATTTGATGTACTAGTATACAACTTCGTTTTAGATTAAACATTTCCATTGTCACATTTGTTAATGCATTTTGATATCTTTAGCTATTGATAGCAACTATAAACAATAATAAATAAAAAGATAAAAGATTTGGAAAGTATAAGTTAAGACATAAGTACATGATGATATTTTTCCTAGACAAAAAAATCACCAAAAATAAAGTTGTGAATTTCTAAGTGTTTTATCTAAATAGCCAAGGAGGTACATTGGTTTTTTTTTTTTCCTTTTTTTTGTAATACGAGCTACACTTTTAAGAGAGGTTTGAGAGTTTAACATTCAATTTGCTCATCTTATCAATCTCATACAATGCGATTATGAACCTTTAATCTTATTGAATATAATCCGTTATCAGCACAACAAGTAAAATATGAAATAATTTTAGAAGTATCCGGTGACCTTGTAAAATATGAAATAACACACGAATACAATCCAGTGATGCATTTAGTTAAGATCGAGTCCAATATAACGTCGCTATATATTCAGTTGGAGACGTAAAATATATACCTGGCCTTGTATATAGCTAATTAACTCTGCACATGGGAGATGCGGGACTAGATCGAGGTTCAAGACACCAACTTGTCGATGCTCGATATAAACGAGTTTAATCATTCGTACTATCAAATAAGACGATAATCACAACGAAAAACATTGATACACCGTTGAATGCATGGTACCCCCCTTCATCCTCACTTTTAGCCCATGCTAGCTCTAAATATTAAACTAGATAATGTAGATTTTTGTTGACTGTTCAAAATTTTTTTAGTAGTATGCTAATATTGATAATATTATGATTATCCCTCTATCATTATATTTCTCATTATTGTTGAAATTATTTAACGTGCCATATATAAAATCATCGTTTTTTTTTTTTTTTTTTTTTAATTTTATTTTATTTTATTATATATATATATATATATTTTTTATAGAATTAATTGTATTGTATTCGCTGATGTAGAGTATATGTTAAAGTTGTAGGTGGGGGGAGTAACAAGTTAAAGGTTACCATAATGAAGTAATATAAGTGGTCACTAGTAATTACAAATAATATAAGTGGTCACTACTAGTAATTACATTTTTTTTAAAAAAAAAAAAAAAGAAAAAAAAAAGTTTTATAAGAGATGTAGAATGTGGTAAGAAAATTAGGCCCAAAATGCAGTTGTGCATAATTTTAAGAAACAATCCACAACGAGTTATAATTTTAAGAAATGATCCGAAACAAGAGATTATACTATGTATATTGAGTTGATAAGTCAAAATTTGCGGGTACTACTAGTACTTTCAATACATTCTAAACTAAAGCGATAGTCAATAATAAGGCTTAAGTTGAAGTTGTACATTCAAAGTTTTCAAACCTAAAGCACGAAAGATTTATTGCATGTGCAATTCAAGCTTAGGTGCAAAAAATAATTAATACTATGGAAAACAAGGGTCAAAATGAGGTCTACAAGTACTACAACATATATATTATTCATCCCTTATTCTAAACCAAATATCCTTTTAATATAAGTTATATAACAACTAATCAACTGACAATTTCTACACTTATTAGCCACGAATCAGGATTATTCTAATTAATTAATTAATTACATAATCCACTTTACAATATGCAAATTGACAAGCTCATACAAGTCTTAATTCCCGGGTTTATAGCTAAGTTTTTCTCATTATTCTTTTTTGAAAGAATATGTTTTTGTCATTATTATTATAATATTAATACTATTGTTAACCAAATTTATTACGGAGTACTCCCTCCGTCCCTTTATTTTTGCCCCAATGCCATTTTTTGGGTCAAATTTTAAAAACTTTGACCATAATTTACCGTTAATCTATCAAAGATAATATAGTCATGAGTGGTCTTGTTAGATTCGTCTCATTGTATATTTTATTAATATCATGTTTACGTATATGAAAATAAAGATATAAACGTTTTAAAATGCATCTTGAAGACCGCACACAGTTAAATGGGACAAAAAAATAGAAACAGAGGGAGTATCATACTGTAAAGTGCATGCCAAATATAATTTGACTCCTTTAATAAAGAAAAACCAAATCTAAAAATAATTAATACGCACTAGTAAATTAAAGGCGAGGATTCACGAGTTGTGTCACGCACTAGACGGAAACCTCACGCTAAAGACTACAGTATGAAGAATACGAAGTAGCTTTTAGATAAAGATACCTCTTCTTTCAAAGTTTTTAGTGGATGTCACCTTTTTAAAACTGTTTATTTATACTTCGTATGTGTTATGTGTATACTCCATTTTCTTATCAAATCGTTCCTCTAAATGAGAAGGAGGCTTGGCTCAGTTGGTCAAGTCTCTCGAATTCCAGGTGAGAGATCTCAGACCTGGGTTCGATTCTCATCAAACTCATCTTGGGAGAATTTTTCTTATTTTCCCCCTTTCAAGGTAAGTGTTCACCTTACCAATTAAAAAAAAAAAAAAAAAAAAAGTTGTCCCTTTAAATTTATCTTATACATCGTAATATACGTGAGATAATCATGGGTTTACTACCTTACTTTCGCCTAAAAACTTTACCCAGTCAAAATGAACTTTAATTTATGGGGGCAATAGAAACACTTGTTAGAGCACTCCCAGTAGTGAGTGAAAAACCCTCACGAGAGAAACTTGAGGTGTAAAAAAAAAAACCGTACGCTACAACAATGAGGGGAATTCCTCTCATGGTTGAGGAGAATGAAAAACGCTCAAAACTTGAGGGGAATTAAGAATGAACAGTGACTTGGTGGGGCCCACGAGCTAATGACGCCAGCTGCTTCAACTTGCTGAGAAAGCAGCCAAAACGACGTGTTTTGTGCTTCCTCAGGCCAAATCGACGTCGTTTGGTTGCCTTCTCAGCAAAAAAAAAATTAAACTGCATGGCTACTGGCGCACGTCAGAGCAACGAATGAGGATGCGACACGCGTCAGTGCCATTTAATTGAGCCAATCAGATTTTTTCTCTTTTTCCCAACGGTTATATTCAATAAAACGGTAATATTGCCGTTAAAAATATAAAAATAAAAAAAATAAATCACCAACGGCCATAAATTTTTTTTCTCTATAAATAGACATGCATTTTGATATATTTTGATATACTTTCAAAAAACCAAAAATCTCCAATATTCACTAATTTCCCAATCCTCACTTATTATTATAATTATTAATTACGGTTTTCAGAAGAAAAAAAATTATTATAATTATAATTATAATTATAATAATAATAATAATTATTATTATTATTAGTATTATTATTATTATTATTAATATTATTATTGTTGTTGTTGTTGTTGTTTTTATCATTATTATTATTATAATTATCATTAATATTATTGCTGTTGTAGCTGTTTTTATTTTAAAAAAATATAATTTAGTTATTGTTCTTTTAGTAATTGTTGATTTTTTTACTAATTATTGTTTAAAGCTTTATTTATTTTTTCCAAAAAAAAAAAAAGCTTTATTACTTTTCTACTTTATCAACTTATGGATCCTAACAACCCTAATTTTTCTAATCATTTCTCTGATTTGGGTGATGATTTTGTCACTAACCCTCAATTTCAGCTTTTTCTTCAAAGGCTTGGAAGTACTTCTTTGCAAAATTCAACACAACAAACACCTCATCAAACTCCTTTCCAAAACACTACCTATGAACTACATTCACCTTTTGTTTATCAAGGGACCGATTCTCAATTAGATGATGAAATGGAAGAAAATGTTCCAGACACTCCTCAATACTCTCCACCTCCTTCAAGAGTGTCTGTGAATCAAAACCAACCACTAACAAAAGGAAGTCGAATGTGGTCTGTTACGAAGGATGAAGCTCTAATTGGTTTGTATCTTCAATTCAGTGAGGATGCAATTGTTGGTACAAACCAAAAAGTAGCTGCGCTATGGCGAAAAATATCTACAGCATATGATCAAGCGCAGACTGAGAAACACCACATCCTACCGCCAAGACCTTTGAGGAGTTTGGAAAGCCATTGGAGAAGGATGGAAACTGATTTAATACAATGGAGTAGTTGCTATGACGAAGCTGGTAGGGCAACTGGAAGTGGTTACAACGAAGCAGACCAAATTAATAATGCAAGTAAGTTATTCTACATTTCCTCCAAGCCTACTCCACATAATTTTAATTGTCACCATGGTTGGGAAATGGTTAAAAATGACCCGAAGTGGAGGACAAAACTGAGATGGGCGTTGTCAAGAGAGGAAAGATTAGCTTGTGGTGATGCTGTCGAAGATGACAGTAGTGGAAGTGAAAAGCGGTGTAGAACTGATGATGAAGATGTTGTTCACGTTACCGGTTTCACTTCTGGGGGTCTTGCTCGACCTGATGGCGTTAAAAAGGCAAAGTCCAGGCGTAACAAGGGAAAAAGAGTGGCTGTTGAAGTCTCAAACATTACTGAGAAAATGCAGCAGAATAATGCAACGAGGGAAATCGAGGCACAAATGCGGTTGAAGAAGTTGGATTTCGACATGGAAAGGGAAAGAAGGAAGCAAAAACAAGTAGAGCTTCACCAAAAACAAGTCGAAATTCAAGAAAGAAGGCTCAACTATGAAATGCTGCAAGATCTAATGGCAAAGGGACCGGACCTAACTCCTGATGAAGAGGCTTACAAGGAAGAATTATATGCACTACTTTATGGTAGAAGGAACATGTAATTTAGATCAGCTTAATGTGTTTGCTACTGTTTTTATTTAAAATTATGTAATAATTTTAATTAATGTTAAGATGTACTCCTTTTTATTTACATTAATGTGAAATGAATTATGTTTTTTATAACATTAATTGTGCAGTAAATTATTTACTTTATGAAATTTGTTTTTAAAAATAATCACATGTACTGGTTAATGACAAATATACATCTCCCAATAAAATCTTCACAGCTTTATGTTGAAGAGTCATATCAACTGAACACAAGTAATGATAATGATATAGATTATTGAAGAGTCAAATCAACTGTTCGAGTGTCATACATCACATGCATCAATAATTCAATTGCAATTCAGAGTGCAATGACACATCAATTTCATTGCAGAGATTGCATTGAAGTGTCATATGGACTATATATACATGCATGACACATCAATTTCATTGCAGAGATTGCATTGAAGTGTCATATGGACTATATATACATGCATGACACATCAATTTCATTGCAGAGATTGTAATGATACATGAATTTCAACTCAGAGTTACTCAGATGCAAAATCAGAATAACTCACATGCATTGATAGTCACTTGGACTATATAAACATGCAAGTGTTATTCAAAATGGAAAGAATCCCAAACAAACCAACTACCAAACCATAACCACAACATGTCTTTCATTTCCTCCACCTCAAGCTCGAGTTCTTCTGATTTCTCAAATAACGTTGAATTTGATCGGTTAGTCGATGATTATGCTGCTAACCACCTACCTCATATTTTAATTCCCCAACACTAGTCACAAGAATCCCAGCTTAATAATGATATACCAAATGTCCCGGAGCCTAAAAGGGATAGGGAAAGAGAAAAAGGTCATGTACAACTATATAACGATTATTTTGCGAGTAATTCAGTGTATAACGACAACCAATTCCGCCTTATATTTCGTATGCGAAGATCTTTGTTCTGTCGCATTATGAATAAGGTGGTTGAAGGGGATCAATTCTTCCAACAACGTCGGAGTGCAGCTGGAAAGCTTGGTATATCACCGATGCAGAAATGCACCGCTGCAATAAGAATGTTAGCGTATGGCGTAGACCCCGATGTCGTGGATGAATATCTACGTATCGACCAAACAACCTCACGGAATGCATTGCAACATTTTTGTCAGGGGGTTATATCACAATTTGAAAGTGAATATCTACGTAAACCTACAGATGAAGATTTAAGGAGAATCCTTCATCAAAATGAATTGTGTGGGTTTCCAGGCATGATTGGTAGTATAGACTGCATGCATTGGGAGTGGAAGAATTGTCCTACGGCTTGGAAAGCACAATATGCTGGTCGTAGCAAGACTGCAACCCTCATTCTTGAAGCCGTTGCTGATCAGGATTTATGGATTTGGCATGCGTTCTTTGGAATGCCTGGCTCATGTAATGATCTTAATGTCCTTTACCGTTCACCGGTGTTTGATGATGTTTTACAAGGTCGTGCACCACCAATAAATTTTTGGGTAAACGAACATCAATATGAGTTGGCCTACTACTTGGCAGATGGAATTTATCCGAAATGGCCAACTTTTATACAAGGTATTACACATCCTCAAGTTCAAAAAGACAAGTTGTTTACTGGTCAACAAGCAGCAGTTCGGAAAGACGTTGAACGGGCTTTCGGAGTTTTACAAGCTAGGTTTGCTATACTACGACAACCTGCACTAGCCTTCGACAAAGATATTCTTTGTGACATTATGAAATCCTGTATAATAATGCACAACATGATCGTCGAGGATGAACGACACAACTACACACGGGAAGATGTTTTGAGACGATACTACGAAGAAGATCGACCACAATGTACAGCAGCGCGGGCGGGACCGAGCACAAGTGCCACGGTGAATAACAACGAGCCATTTGAATTCAACGTCGGGCGGCCACCCAACATTGATTTCAACGCGTATTTTCAGAGGAGGATTGCCCTTCGTGATAGAGAAATTCATTCGTCTCTCAAACAAGATTTAGTAGAACACATGTGGCAGAACTTTCGTCATAATACAACCGAATAAGCAAAGTTGTAGAATGTAATCGTATCGTTTTTAAGTTTTAATACTCGTCCTCGTGTATTATTTTAGCTCAAACCGCTTTTATTAAGTTTGTAATCGTACTGTTATTTAATATCCGATGTATTTGTATTGCCGTTTATGTGTTCATTTAAAAAATTTGCTTCTTAATTATGTAATCGTTTTAGTTTAAGAAAACATCTTTCGTAGAATCTATAATTGCTGTAATTTTTTTAAATTATTATATTCTAATAAGAACGTTAAATAAAAAATTATATTGAAAATGTTCTATTTATTAATTTTAACCGTCATTAAATAAATAAAAAAAAGAAAAAAAAACCTACCAAAATATTGTAATAATTATTAAAAATTATTACATTACAATTAAATCGTAATTAAAAAAAATATTACATATTTTTAATTGTATTGGAAAGTTAAATATGTAGTATAAACATTATTAAAAATAGGAAATTTTGGATTTTAACACCTTACAAAAGGTTGAAAATGTTTTTTAACACCCCCCAAAAAAAAACTTTTATTTTAACACCTCCCAAAAATATAAAACTTGGAAGTTAACACCAAAATCCATCTTCCGTTAACAGAACTGTTAGTGGGGCCCACCCCAACGAATATATTTTTAAAAGATCTGTATATAAGAACCATTCTTCCACGATTCTTGCACGATATATAAGAACCATTTTTGCACGATTCTCCCCCAATGAACGAAAACGTTGTTCTTATTGAATAGCAGCAGCGCATTGCATTGTTGCACGATACTTGAAACAATTCTTGCACGATTATTCCACGATTTTTGAGAAGAGGAACAGATTGAAGCTGCTGAAACAGGTGAGTGCGGTCAATTGTTCGGTTGTTTGGTAATTATGGTTTAAATTCTCTTCAATTATTATTTGCAATTGTTTCGTACTCGGATTAATGGTTGGATTATGTTATGTACGCATCTAAATGCCCAATTGCGAAATTAGGGTTCGTCAGAAATTGAATTTGGGGCTTTTCGTATTATGAAATTAAAAATGAATTTTGTTGCTGTAAATGTTAATTCGTCAGTGTACAAATCTGTAAATGTGATTGTCGATCTAAAATTGATGCAGATTATGTCGTTTGTTAGCTCTTCCCCTCCTGAGGCTAGAAAATGTAAGTGTGGTGTGCCAATGGCCAAGCTCACTAGCTGGACAAGGGAGAATCCAGGCAGGAAGTTCATATCATGTAAGTTTTATGACCCAATAACTGAAACAAGGGGTTGCAAAGCTTTCGAATGGGTTGATCAACCTGATGGAACAGATTGGCAAACAGGGGTTATCAACAACCTGTTGTTGGATAAGAAGCTGCTAAAGGGTGAAGTTAATGAATTGAAAAGGGAAGTTGATGAAATCAGTGGCCAAAGGAGGTGCCTACTTAATGAAGTTGATAATTTGAAGATGAGATGCAAGGCCTTGAACGCTGACAGGAAGAGAATGAACAGGGAGTGCAATGAAGGGAAGGTGTCTTCAATCAGCTGTTTTGGTTGGGTGGGCATGGCCATTTGTATAGGTTTGTCAATGGGTGTAGTTTTCCTAATGGCTAAGGGTGTGTAATAGTAAGTTGTATTAAGTAGTTATAATTTCTTGTAATGACTTGAAGTGTTATAAATATGTCTTTTAATCAACCTATTTATGCCTTGTCTAAGTTGTTAAATTGAGAATGTTTAAACATTGGAAAAGGATTTAAACATGTGAAACATTAAAACATGGGAAATATGTGAAACACTAAGATAGTTCAAGTACAGGTTGACAAAAGAACCTTACTTCAACATGTTTCAATGGCAATCAAAGCCATGCAACCATTACAATTCAATATCTAATTGTTCAAATTTGTTAAGGGATGCCACTAAAAAACTAGCAAGTTACATAACCAGTCATGAGTACATAATAAAAGTTTGAAATTGTTCAACAGACATAATGTTTGATATCCAGCATGAGTACATCACTGAGTAAGGTTGTTGAGGGATTGCAGCCTGGCCCTTGTTACAACACATGTGGCTGTTGTAGGCTGACTTGAGGAAGACCTTGTCTTTCTTTTTGGTTGGCTTGAGGCAGGCTGACTTGAGGAAGGCAGAGCTGAGGATGGCTGACTTGAGGATGGCTGAGCTGAGGAATGCTGAGCTGAGGAAGACTGTGGCTGTGGGCGCTTACTGAATGGCAGACAACCTTCTTGCTCTTGAGGAAACTTTTTGTTTCCTATGCTGTTTGGTCCAGCCCCAATTGCACTCTATGACATGCATATCAAAATAAAAAGTCAATGGAAAAAACACATACATATATAAAACAAAGGGGGAGTTGGTGTAATGCTTGTGTTACCTTTTTAGCAGCCCTAATCTCTTTCTTCTTCCTCTCCTCCACCATCCAAGGAGTGTTCAGTGGGGGTCTGCCTGCTGACTTTATCAGCTCTGTAGCTGGTGCAGCAGGTACTTTGCAAGTCTTGGCATAATGCCCAAATCCCCCACAGTTGCTACATTGCTTCTTCCTCTTGGTACTTGCCTGACCACCTGAAGAAGAACATTCTCCTGGCTCAAGCTTCCTTTTTTTGCTCTTTGGTCTCCCAGGTTGCACCTTAACAGAAGGGGGTAGTGGTTCCCTCATTCTGACTCTCTCCCAGTGCTTTGGGCCAGGCATTGGTTGGACAGCTGGTTCATAAGCAGACCTGTATGTGTCCATGGTATAGTATGGGTCAACAGCAGCCTCTATGTCACCCCTCATATCCAATATGCAGGCATAAGCATGAACACATGGAATGCCAGTGAGTTCCCAATGGTAACATGTGCAGGTCTCCTTGTCCAAATCAACCAACACCTGGTCATCCTTCAGCTGCACCTCAAATGTATTCCCTCTGGATGGCTGCACCACACAGGATCTAGCCACAAAGTCTATCCTCCCCAGAACATGCCTCACATATGGCACTAAGTTGTGTGTAACTGTTTTTGAATCCTCCCACTTTTCATTATTCCTGTTCATAATATACCTCCTCATCCATTCCATTTGGGTGAGGATAGGTTTATCTCTGGCAGGCCTAATGACTGCATTGAAAGTCTCACACATGTTGTTCAACAACATGTTGGACTTGCAGTTTGGTGTGAATGCATGTCTAGACCAATGGTGGGGAGGAATGTTGATTAAATACTCATATGCCTCTTCATCGAGGAATTTGATAGACTCCATGGCAATTTCATGCTCAAACTGACATATAAAAGCATTCCAAAAATCACACCAAGCATATACAAGCTAACCAATATAAAAACACACCAACAGTTATATAAAAGCATAGGCTAGCTTCAACAATCAATAAACTTACAATGGTGGTGGCCCTAGCTGCTCTCCAAAACAGCTCCTTAAAGGTTGATCCAGTGAAGTTGAGCTTGAAGTTAGCCCAAATATGCCTCACACAAAACCTTTGCTCAGCTTTGGGAATAACATCAGCCATTGCTTTAATCAAACCCTACCAAATGCAGACAAAAGTATAATCATCAGTCAATCACATACATACACATGAAAACTTAGAAATTGAACCTAAATAGTTAAGAGGGAAACAGAAGCATTACCTTTTGCCTGTCAGACATGATGGTCAGCCCAGCTCCTTGATCATGTGTGAACATTGACATAAGGGATTCCAAGAACCAACCCCAAGTTTCCTGGTTTTCAATATCCACTGTGGCCCAAGCTAGAGGAAACAAGTTGTTATTCCCATCCTTAGCAACTGCCACCAGAATTTGCCCAGGAAAGGCACCCTTGAGGTGACAACCATCCAACCCTATTAAAGGCCTACAACCCTTTGCAAATCCATCTCTCAATGGCCTTAAACAGATGAACATCCTCATGAACAATGGTGGCTCTGGCCTGTCAATACCATCAACAACAACATTGCACCCTGAACCAGGGTTGTACTTCATCACAGCTTTCCCATAATCCCACACCCTAGCATACTGCTCCCTAGCTGAACCAAATATCAGTAGTTTTGCCCTACACCTAGCTAGCCATGCCTTATAGTAACTCACATCAACTCCTAAATCATTCAAAATCCTAGCCCTAATCTCCTTAATTCTCCAACCAGGGTTACTCCTAAACTCTTCTAAATACCTCTCTGCTATGTATTCAGCAGTAAGCATCTTGTTCTTCTTTACTCTGAAGCAGGAATGGTCTAAATTCAAGGTTTTGATTTGCCAAGTTTGCTGCTTAACAAGTTTTGATGCAAACACCTTGAACTGACACTTTACCCCCCCCACACATGTACAAGCAGGCATTCTACAAGTGTAGCTATTGAACTCACAGCCACATCTATATCTACACTGAACTGTAACCCTTGTACTGTCATTATGCAAGTAGTAGAACTCATACCTGTTTTGAATGGCATGAAGTCTTAAGGCCCTCCTCAAGACTGAAGCATTACTGAATTTCTGATTTAACTTCAACTTGATTGGGTTGTCAAAGTCCACATCAGCATTAAACCAAGGAGCATAGTCCTGTTCCTCATCAGATCCACACAAACTCCTTGAATCATCTGAATCAGCATCACTTTCTGGATTCACCTTCGGTTTTCCAACATCCAAATCATTTGTCAACTCTACTCTCTTATCTTTGCCAACCCTGTCATCTACTGCACTCTCCAAACCTTTCCTAAGGCTCTTGTTCACTTTGGCCAAGATCTCCTTTGACCCTTCAATATACCATTCCTCATCCCCTTCATCAAATTCTTCTTCACCAGGTTCCCAATCTTGTCCCTCATCACTCAAATCTGAACTTGAATAACCAGATCCTTCACATCCATCATCCTTTTCTTCATCAAACCTCAACACTTTAGCATTAGCTGAGGCTTTCCTAGGTGGACTCTCCTCCCTTTGTTCAGTTTCTGTCTTCTTAAACCTAGGGCTCCTCCTAATAGTCGATGTATTTGAACTTTCTACCTTCTTATCCTTTTTTTTTGTCTTTGCAGGATTGGGTTGGGCCTCTTGTATGGGCTGACTAGGAGCTTCTGTTGTTACAAAAACCTCAACATACCCCTCTTCATTTACTGTCTCCAAAAGGCCCTTAACCTCTTCACTGTTAACTAGTTCCCTTTTCCCAGTGTTAAAGGTTTTCCCCTTCTGCCTATACCAACAGCTGTAATGCATAGGCACATCCATATCACCATTAACAAAACCATGAATTGCAGCTGTTCTAATCAAATGCACATCCAACTTAGATACTTGAACCTTCCTCTTCCAGTAACACCAACCACCACACCAACACAGCAGCTGCCTGTTTTTGGTTACTCTTTTAGGGACAAAAGCACCTCCCACTCTAAGGCAGATGTCAACCAAACTATCCTTGTCACCCATTATCTACCCACCAGTGAAAAACATATACAACATATTAAAAGCCATGTAACTATACATGCACAATACGAATAAACAAATCCATCACAGCCACACAAACAAACACATAAAAAAATTGAAAATAAACATATACAAGCCAATGTAGGTGCTCAGTAACATAAATTAATCAACAAACCACACTTGCTAGTTTAATTAACAATAAACCACCTTAATTAATCTCTACTTTCAATTACGAAATCCAATTAACCTAAGTCGCATAGTCAGTTACAGAAATTGATTTATCAAGGCTTTCCTACTGTGGTCCCAAAATTTACCCTAATTACCCAATTATTGCAAGGTTTACAGCAATGAAGCACCAGTAATTGACGAAATTGCTATCAAAGGAGAGCAATTTTACCTTATTTTCTGTGAATTTCAAGCGGCTTTCGCACTTTTGTAGTTGAAGAAGATGATGAAGAAACCCTCCTGAGCTTATCTTCTCCAACGTTGACACCACCCTACACTCCACTTCTCAGCCAAGATCTCCTTTGGTTCAAAAGCGAAATCAATGAAGGTTCAGAAAGAATTCAATGCAGACGGTTGGTGCGAATTCAATGAAGAAAGAAGTTTCGTGTTTTGCTGGGTGAAAATTGAAGTTCAAGCCAATTTGTGGGACCCACGTTAAATTTCCGTGACGGAAATCGTTAACTGGTGTTAACTTCCAACTTTTATATTTTTGGGAGGTGTTAAAATAAAAGTTTTTTTTTGGGGGGTGTTAAAAACCATTTTCAGCCTTTTGTCAGGTGTTAAAATCCAATTTATCCTTAAAAATAAAAGGATAAAAAAAAGGTGATGTGTATTTATGGTGGGGTATATTAAAAAGTGGAGGATAAAGTGATGAGGAGTTTTTTTTAGAGCATTGGTGTAGTAAAAAAAACCTCTCATGAGAGGAATTGGATGGGAAGAGAGAGAAAGTGGGTAGAGAGAGATTGAGGGGTTTGTTTTCTCCTCACTGCTGATAATGGTCTTAAAGCAAAGTTGTAATTCACATTATTATATTGATAAGAAAAAGATATTGTAAAAAAATTAAAATAAACAATGGATTATTAGGGAGAGATGTCAGAAGATATTTGAGAGAATCTAAAAAATTGATTGTATCTTTATATGATTTTAGAAAAAAGATCATAGTGATAGTTGAGATGATCATAAATCTCAATATATTTCTTAGAAAATAAATCCTCAAAATATAATGTATCAAATTTTATTAGGGATGGATTGTAGAAAATAACTGAAAAACTAATGTGCCTTAAGATTTAAGCGTGTTAAAAACTAGGAAATTTTAGAAAATAGCACCAGAAAAAACACAAAATTTTGATTATAACACCACAAAATTTCAAAGTTTTATTATAACACCACTTAAAAAATTAAAATTTTGGCTTCATCACCTAAATGGTTATGACGTTAGAGGAACTATTAGTTAGGCCCACTGCAACGGCTATTTTTTTCAA